ATTTATCACTTTGGATGGAATGATTGAGCTTTATTCTTCAAAATAAAACTAATTTAAAGGATTACATGCCATAATTCCCACCGCAAGAAGTATTATTGAAACTTTTATTGTGAAGTCCTAAAATATTTTGAACGGAAACACAAGTCACTTTTGTCGCGCATGCGCATTCTCTCCTCACTCCGATGCTAGCAAGTTGAATTTAGCTTGCTAGCGAGTCAAGACCCTTTAAATTTAATTACTTAGTTATTATGAATAGTTTAATTTAAACGGTATAATCTGTGAACATTTTCTAAACGTTGATTACGATCCAACTAACAAAATGAACATACGAAATGCGAGGGTAGGCATACTCAAATTCTATCGTCAACCACGCTTTTTTAGCTACCGATAGTGCTAAGCTAACTCAACCGGCATCGCCCAGCATTGATTGTATCTGGYATGTTTTCGCATAATGTCTTTAATGACGTTTTCCCCCCATCTCTTTCAGCCGGAGGACCTTATGAACATGCAGCACTGTAATTTGCTATGTCTTCCTGAAAACTACCAGATGAAATACTACTTTTATCACGGATTGTCCTGGCCTCAGGTGAATTGGTTTCCTGACTCTGCATGTTTGTTTCTGTCACGTAGACCAACAGTGTTTCATACTCTGCATCTCTTTCCCCCCATTCGTTCAGCTCTCCTACATAGCTGAAGATGAAAATGGTAAAATTGTGGGATATGTCCTGGCGAAGATGTGAGTGTCTGTGACCACATTTCCTAAACCTGATTAAAACTTGATGTATAAAGTTGATCTCATGTTGTTTTTAGGGAGGAGGACCCAGATGATGTGCCGCATGGGCACATCACATCACTGGTGAGTTTGAACAAGAGACATCACATGACTTTACATGCTSTATATCACTCAGAGTATTGTGTCTTTTCGTTTTGTTTTTTGTTATTCAGGCTGTAAAGCGATCCCACAGACGTCTTGGTCTGGCCCAGAAGCTGATGGATCAGGCCAGCCGGGCCATGATAGAAAACTTCAGTGCTAAATATGTCTCGCTTCATGTGCGCAAAAGGTACTTTATTTTCTGACTGTGAAATGAATGATTCTTTGATGTGTACAATTAGATTAACAGATTATTCTCTTGTTTACATTCAGACTAGGTTTGTGTCAGTGCCTGTTTTTTTATTATTATTTTATTTACTGATGTTTTCTCTCYGCAGCAATCGAGCGGCCCTGCATCTGTATTCAAACACACTTAAGTTTCAGTAAGTTAATGTTTTTCTGCTGCATTTACAGCAGGTAAAATAAGTATTTAACACGTCACCATTTTTCTCAGTAAATATATTACTAGAGGTGCTAATGACA